TTTTTTTTTTACCCTTTAAGCATCAAAATGGTTATTGGATAAGGGTGGGGTTGGCTAGAATCCCAATACATGGGAAACATATAGAACACCCTAGGTTGCAATTGTGGAGCTAAAAATAATTCCAAATTATTGGAGGCGACACATGGACTTTTAACCAATAAAAACAAGCTTGCCCTCATTAAATGAGCAAGGCATATTTATATTCCCACACGCAACTTAGCATTCCTAAAAGTGCAGTCAGCAGATTATGACTAATCAAGACTCATCTGCTCGTGGCGTGGAAAAGTCGAAGACATTAAAGATAAGATTAATTACTAAATTTTATCTTTAATACATACCTAATTGAATACCAACCGTATCAAGTAAGGAATTCCTTTCCCATCATTATTTTAATTAATATGTTGGAAATAGCATCTCCTTATGCATCATATGGTTGACATAATTTGGCCAATACGAGGTCGCCATGTGTAAAGCAAAACGCTACACTATGGCTGACCAATACCTCCTTATCACTTCCATATTTTGGTAAGCTTTTCACTATACAGAAAACCCTAAACACTCACTCTATTCAGAGTTACTGACTAAGGCATCGGAGATCCATTGGCCAAACCCTCCCCCCCCCCAACCCTAAACAACCTTGTGGGCACGCGAGGCTTTGGTTTTTGATCAAATGTGTTGATTGTTTTGTAAGTACAATTTCATCAAGACTGAATACGACAAAAATTTGCTACCACATCAATGTCCCAGAGGTGTTACAAATATCACATACAGATGATAGAGCATTTAGTTTTTTGTCACTATTTTGCGAGAATTTGAATTTCGATTTGAGAATTCAGTAGAAGCCCACCGAATAGAGTAGTCCAGTTTGGCAGACAGCCAACAAACTGAGCAGCATAGTACAATAGAAGCCTCCTGAGTAGAGCAGCCTAGTTCGGCCAGGCAATACCAAGCAAAGCAGCCCAATTCAACTAGGCTATATCCAATAAAACAATATAGTTACTCCTTTCTTTAATCCTACAGGGTATGTTCCATCTCTTTTGAATATCCAAGAGGCAAGTATTTTAAATACTAACACAACTAATCCTGATATTGATGTAAGTACTTATAAATTGCCAGCAAGACATAATCATGGTGTGCCACCTCACAGGTTCTCTCTGGATGGAAATGTCAAGTATCCAATTGCTAATTACGTATCATGTGAGCATTGTTCACTAGAACGTATGGAAATGGTAAATTATATGGAATCAATTAAAATTCCAACTTAAGTAGAAGAAGTTGTACAAGATCTTAAGTAGATACAAGCTATGAATGAAGAGATGTCAGCCTTGCTAAAAATAAAACATGGAAGATAGTGTAGTTACAAAAAGAAAATGAGCATGTTGGTTGTCGTTAAGTGTTTACAATCAAGTACAAGATTGATGGATCAATTGATACGTACAAAGTAAGGTTAGTGGCTAAAAGCGCACGCTCAAATGTATGGTATAGATTACCAAGAAACCTCTTCTCTGGTAGCAAAGATGAATATTGTATGTTTTTAATTTCCTTAGCTACAAATATGGATTGGCTTCTTAAACAGTTTGATGTGAAGAATGCGGTCCTTTATCGAAACTTGGAAGAGGAAATGTATATTGTCTTTCCATCGGGTCATGGTGCGAGTGGTAATACAGAAGTTTGCAAGTTGCGTAAGTCTCTTTATGGACCTAAGCAATCGCCTCGTGGTTGGTTTGACAAGTTTACTCAAGAAATGAAGAAATACAGGTATCACAAGAGTTATTCAGATCACACTTTGTTTATAAAGTGTAGGCTTGGCAAATTGACTGCTCTAAGTATTTATGTGGATGATATGATTATTACAGGGAATGATTCATAAGAAATCCAGAAGTTATAGATAAATGTTGCACTTGTGGATACTCCTATATTAGTAAAGCATCACTTGGGTATTTACCGGCATTTACCCTATCAAGTTCCCGTTGATAGGGGTAGATATCAAAAACTTTTATGCATATTAATTTATTTATCTCATACTCGGCCTGATATTGCATATACTGTAAGTTTTGTGAGTCAATTTAAGTAAAAATCACATGGCTGCAACAATGCGAGTTTTGACATATCTAAAGTTTGCACCCGGTAAGTAAATATTTTATGGACAACATAGGCATCTAAGGTGTAGGGGTTTACAAATGCAGATTGGACTAACAATGTTATTGACAGATGTTCTACATCTGAGTATTTTATATTTGTTGGAGGTAATTTGGTTTCGTGACATAGTAAGAACCAGAAACTGGTGTCTGGGATTCTGTTGAAGCTACGTATAAAGATATGGAACAAGGAATATGTGAACTCTTTTGGTTAAGTAAACTTTTAGATGTCTTGGTTTTGAACCAAAGAAGGCTATGAAGTTATATTGTGACAATAAAGCTGCAGTGGAAATAATAGATAATCTGGTACAACATGATTGAACAAAGCATATGGAGGTTCATCAACACTTTGTCAAGGAAAATCTTGAAAGAAAGATTGTGTCTATACCGTTTGTGAATTCGGAGTAGCAGCTGGCTAATGTTCTTACTCATGGAGTATCTAATAAAGTTTTTCAGGACTCAAGCATCAAGTTTGGCAAGTATGATATATATGCACCAACTTAAGGATGAATGTTGATTTGTGTCTTAAATTGTAAATATTTTAGGAGTCATTTTTAGATAGGATTAGGATTTGTAATCTCTTGTATTTAGTTTATGTATCCTTGTAATTATATTCCTTAAAGAATAAGGCTTTTGTGCCTATATATCGTAAGCTTTGGAGAATGAATAAAGTAACGAAGTATTCAACGTATTTCTTTTCTGTTTTACTACTTAATTTTAAAATTAAGCAATTTTTTATGACAAAAAACAATACTAAACTAAGCCTAAGTCATACTATTCATCATAGAAATTAAAAAAATTAAAAAAAATCTTAAGTCATACCATTCATCATAGAAGTTAAAAAAAATTAAAAATAATCTTAGTTTAGCAATTTTAATCATGATCTAATTGTATATAGATATTAGGTTATGTGATTGTCCAGTGTCACTGCCAACCCTAATTGGAAATAACAATGTCCCAGTTAAAAATACATGCATAGCTTTGTGTGTCAACAAGGTCTTCTCCGGATCATTTTGGTGAAGATTTTGAGGATTTGTAAATTATGTCTGTTTATTGTACATAATGGGTTTATTTTTTATCAGGTAATGTTTGTATTTAATCTTAAATAAAAATATATAAAATAATTTCTAACCATACGATGTACAATAAACGAATATGATTTTACAGATTTCTAAAATCCTCACAAAGAGGATTTGGCGAGAATTTGGATTCCTTTGGGTGGACGTTCAAGTTTATGCTTTATTAATTGGGAATTATTGTTGGCACTCCAAAAATCTTATTTTGTACTCCGTGTATAATAAGATTTTAGGAATGCTTATAATATTTTCCTACTAATTTACTATTTTATGTTTTAACCCTTGATATAATCACTGCCGCAATCAGACAAATCATATGCGTCTGCTACAATCACACTAATCAAGACGCGAAAATAAGAACCGGGACCACCCGTTTCCCGGTTAAAACGAGTGCCACACAAAATACAAAACCGTGACGGCCTTCTCTGAGCCACAGCTCACGCCAACCGACAGCTGTAGATGCCCTCCTCCCTTACTCCGTTGTCTCAAATCTGCAGTTAATCCCGTAGCTACACCTGTCTCTATTTGTACCTAATTGCCAAATTGGTCCACAAATTAATGGCCAAACTTTTGACTTTAACCCTGTTTTGCTCGAGGCCTAATGGACAATGTTCTCATAACTGGATATCGACACGTGTCTGTATGTTAAGAATTTTCTTATGTTTTATTTTACAATATTCATAATAATATGTTGAACGTCAAAAAAATATTTCGAAAGTTGCTACAAGCTCCATTACATCATTGTCATCATCTCTATGTACTTTATTATTATTTTTTTTTAACAAACAATATTATTTATACTAAGAAAGAAGGGGTGATCTTAGTTTCACAATAAGTCAGTAATAATTTGGTTCAAATTCGTCTTTGGTAAGAATTAAACCTAAGACCTCTCACTTACTAGTGAAGAGGAATATCTTTAGACTGCAATATTAAGTGGCCATCTCTACACACTTAAAACCTCACTTTTGAATTCTGAAATTAAAAAGTGCCCTAAATTAATTTGAATTTAGCTTGGAATATTCATAATAAATTCATTTTACGTTAGAAAATATTTCAAAAGTTGTTATGAACTTGTTGTGACTTTGGTGTTGTCCCAACATCTCTAGAACCTCATTTTTAGTTTGTGAAAATAAAATTAGTTGTTTAAACTTGAATCACTTACTTACAAATAAGTATTTTCATAACTTAATGAAACCCGCTCGCTGTATAATGCTTCTACTATTAATTCCAAATTTACTTTATGAGAACCTATTTACGGGATTTATGTTATAGGCAACGTCGCAACGAGTTTATAGCATTTTTCAAAATATTTGTCTAATGTAAAATGAATTTATTATAAAATATGACGATAATAACATGTGGCAGACTGTTTTATAGATAGCTGTCGGTGGGGCTCGATGAAAACCTCTCGTTTTCTGCCACATGTATGTTCTTATAGTTTATAGAATTGTTTTTAATGTTTGGGATATTTTTTTTTTGTGAGATTTAAGTGAGAGTTAATCTAAACTCTTTACATTGAAAATTAGATGAAGCTCACACGATTTGTGTGTGTGTAAATATAAAAATTTTGAAAAGAAAAAAAATACATGGAAAAATTTCGTCCCAGAGTGGTACCTAAAGTTATAATTTTGGGACACTTTCATACATCTGTTAAATTTTCTGTTAAAATCTCTGTTAACTGATGACGTGACACCTACATAGACAATGATTGGACGCCAAGTGGATATTAAAAAAATTAGAAATTAAAAAAAAATTATTTAAAAAAACTAATAAAAATTAAAAATAAAAAAACTAAAAAAATTAAAAATTAAAAATCTAGGCCTATTCCTAACCATTCCCCGTTCCCACCGAGCCATCCCTCCTTCTCTCTTCTTTCCTCTGCGTCCACTTACCTCCTGCCTCATCCTCGCCTTCTCATGCTTCGTTAAGGTCGCGTCGTTCTCGATCTCCCGGATCGTCGACACCAGACCGCTGTCCACGTAGGTGTTCACGGCGGGGATATACGCAGGAGCGTTGTTGGAGATCGATGTGCAATCGGGGCATTCCCACTGGAGAGTGGCGGCCAGGGACTCGAGCTTGGCCAAGAGGCAGGCATCATGTTAGGGGGTCACGCAAGTCTTGCAAGTAAGTTTCTCGAGGTCGGGCGGAGTCACCTTGCAGAACATGCAGACGCCGTCTCCGGTGCAGGGAAGCTAGCTAACCCTTCCTCATTTCTCTTTCCGTGGTTGCTGCCCATCCAACCCATCACTTATCCGCTTCTCAAAACTATCTCCCTAGTGAATTTGCCTTCGCCATCGTCATCACTCCATGCCTCGCTTTCAGCCTCGCTTGCTCCATCACCGGGAGTTTGTTCCACTCTGGCTTCCATGCACATGGTACTCGTGACCCACCAAAAACCCTGGGTTTCATCTCTGCAAAATATAAACCTTTTTCTTTACAAAAAATTGGGGAAAAACAAATCTTTTTCCATCTGTTTATTTTTCCTAATTTTGGGCATCGAAATCGAAAAAATAAATTGAATTTGTATAAAATTGAAGAAATCATATTGGGGTTTGGGTTTAGCGGGAGCATAATCGGGCAAATGTGCGGTTACCTCCGATGAGGGCTTGTAGTTTTAAGAGGGAGTTGTAGATCTTGGAGTTGTGAAGGGAGGAAAAGCCATGGCTGAGTTTGGGGTGGGCGCAGAGGAGATGAGAGAGGATAGAAGAGAGAAGGATGGGAGAGAGGGCTAGGTGGGTGGGTAGGATAGGCCCAGATTTTGTTTCTTTTTTTTTTTAATTTTTTGACTTTTAATTTTTAAATTTTTTTAAATATCCACGTGATGCCCAGTCATTGTCTATGTAGGTGCCACGTCATCAGTTAACAGAAATTCTAATGGAAAACTTACGGATGTATGAAAGTGTCCCAAAATTATAATTTTAGGTACCACTCTAGGACGGAAAAAACTTCATGTATCAAATGTTGAAAACCAAGAAATTTCAAAATAGTAAACTGATATTAACCATTTTAAAAAAAATTAAAGATAATAAAATAACATGTGGATGATGTTAAAAAAAAAAAAAAAAGAGCAAATTTTTGTATGTGTACAAATTCTAGATTCTAAGTATCCAAAAGATAGTGGTACAAGATCTGTTGTTTTGGGAACATATCATCCAATTTGTTCAAATCCACAGAAAAAGGAATTGGAGAATTAAAGATTTGCGGATAGATGTACTGATAATGGCTGGGATCGAAGTTTCTGTATTGAGCATGCTAAACGAATTAGTTGGTGTGTAGGTAAAAATGAACCACAACTTAGTAGCTCAGTCACTAGAACTATATCTCACTCCCACTTTTGCGCATGAGTTGAATTTGAAATCTCCTCACACGAATACTAAAAGCCGTTAAACAAATTAGTTATGTGTAAGAAAAATAATGAGTTATAACTTAGAGCTAGAACACAACCGATTTCCATTCTATGAATCAAACTTCAGCATCTTTCAACTAAGTAAAAACTAAATGTCTCTAAACAAACGTATTATGCGTTTAGTAAAATAAGAGTTATGCCTTGGGTAAAAATCTTGCGTGTACATAAGATTGCAAACTTGCAAGCTTTAATACATCAATTGCCAGAATTGAAACCACATATACTAAAGTGGAACATTAAAACAATATAGGAACATGGATTACCTAATTTTGCCCAAATTGAGAATTATACTTAAATACATAGAACATGTAGAATAGGCGTACAATTATTATTATTTTTTTCTAAACAAACGATATTATCTATATTAAGGAAATGAGGGAGTAGGCCTTAGTCTTACAATGAGTTAGCATAATGTGGTTTAAATTTTTCTTCAACGAGAATCTAACTTAAAATCTCTCACTTATTTATAAAAAAAAATATCATAAGATCATAATACTAAGTCGCAGTAGACCTGCCAAACTTGACGTCTTTCTCCTTTATATTTCCAATTGGTGCATGAATAGGTTCTCTATCGTGTCAAATTTATGAATAGGTTCCCTATCGTGTCAGATTGTTAAAGGGCCACGGTACAAGGATGAAAATACATCTTAACTAGTACATTTCTAGTTACGAATTAAGTCGCTTTTATGTGTCACTAGACGTAACTCCTATCCGTAATAACTTTCCACCCACGAAACAATAATTCGGAGAACGACTTTTTGCTGCTCAGGTTCTAATGTCACATGGACAAATGTAGAACTGGATGTGTCTACGATTACATGAGTAAACCATCGTCCAACGAATCAGACTATGCAATTACAGTTTATTTGGTAAATAGCTATTATAATCATTTTTTTAAGTCTCTTTGTTTTGGTGTGTTGAGATTTGCTTTTAAAATCTTGGCAATACAAACTTTAGAGAAAAAAAAATTTGTGACGGACAGTTTAGTAGCCTATAGTCTTAATTTAAATTTAAGTAATTTTTATTTGGATACTCCTCATTTTTGTTCAATTAGTTGTATTTATGAAGATCAACTTGAGATATCCAGTTCTAAAGTTATTGTTGAATAAATTTGTTTGAATTCTTGCTTTTTAGCCTTGTTTTTCAAAAAAAAAAAAAAAAAAAAAAATCGTCCAACTAATTAATAAAATCTTTTTTGTCAAATAAAAGAGAATGAAAAGGCAAATTAGTCTTCTATAACAAAAAAAAAAAAAAATGATGAGCAATAATGTAATTTCACAAGTCCAAATTTTACTGTTTTTTATTGAAGCCTCACCTACATGTGATGTTAAAATACCTCTAATATTAAAAAAAAAAAAAAACCAAAAACAAAAACATCCCACTCCCCACACGTTCTCTCTCTCTCTCTCCCTCTCTCCTTCTCATTTTCTAAAAAAATATGTTAATACACACAAAATGTGTAGGCAAATGCTAGTATAATATTAACAAAATTCAGCTTTTCTCATTTTCTAAATAAATAGTATCATGGGCCATTGTGTTTTTATTGTCACATACCAAAATTAAGATATATACCATTACTTTCTACTTAAAAAAAATAGCCTTAATACTAACTCTTGAAGCTTGAAAGTATTCATTGACTCATTTTTACTTATATGCAAAATTAGCATGTGTGATAAACTTTCTAATAATGGGTGTAATTCTCACTTTACCAGCTTTATATCTAGGGTAAAGATTGTGTGACATCTTCATACTTTCGTTAATTTTTATGTTAAAATTTCTATTAAACTTTGACATGACATTCACGTAAATAATAAATTGGCGCTGCGTGGCACCCACCGATATGGGCCCATGTGGGCCATAAAAAAATTTAAAAATTTTCTGCAAAATAAAATTAAAAAAAATTGGCCGTCTTCCTCGCACAGGAGGCAGCCCTGCGCACCATGGGAGATCTGAAGGTGTGCCCAAGTGATGACCTCAACAACGTTCGTAGTAGGCCATAGATAGAAGCAGCGGGCACGGGTTGCAGAATTCTTGGGTGGTCAGGCAGCAGCAGCAAGCACGGGCTGGGGTTTTAGGATTTGCAGGTGGCGAGGTTTGGCTTAGAAGCGGTAATCGCAAATTTGGTGGGGGCAGGGTGCTGGTTGATTTGGTGGCTGTGTCATTGTCCATTGGCACCACGTCAATGGTGGATCTAAAAATTATTATTAGGAGTTAGTAAAAATAGCGCGCATCGTGCAAATTTTTAATTAGTAAAAATAGCGCGCGCATGGTGCAAATTTTTTTTAACAAAAAAAACATATTGCTATTCCATTTAGTTTTGGTGGGGGCAGGGTGCTGGTTGATTTGGTGGCTGTGTCATTGTCCATTGGCACCACGTCAATGGTGGATCTAAGAAATATTATTAGGGGTCAGTAAAAATAACGCGCGCATCGTGAATTTTTTTAATAGAAATAGCATATTGCTATTCCATTTAGTTTTGATAGGTTCGAAGTCATTTGCAAAGACATATTGCAAATCTATTAATGCCTCATTTGGGTGGGTAATTAACATGTTCCAAAGTTGCTCCCATATGAATTCTTAACAAAGGAACACACTTATCTTGAACACACTAACAAATTGATTGATATCATTGCATCCCATTAATATGTTTGTCCGAGAATGATGATGTTTTGTTCATTCTCTGATATTACCATTTCGTTTACTTTGCATTTTTGGATAGTCTTTTACTTGGTTCTTTTTTCTTTTCTTCATACAATTGTAATCACAACAAACAAATAAACTAGAGGCAAATATACGAAGGGCAACTCCAACCTTCAAAGAAGCAGTACCCAAGTCATCTATGGAGATTCACTGGAGTTCGGAGAGTTAGCTGACCCCCTTTGCTCCCTAAGTCGGTCCACTCCTGCATGACGTCACGCTTTAATAGATGTTTTGATGGAAATACTAACAGAACTATGAAAATGTCACACAATCCTCACTTCAAATATGAAGTTGGGACAAAAAAAATTAATATATGAAAGTTTGAACTCACGATACTTAATGTTAATGAAGAAAAAAAATACTAAATACTGACTACCTGTAGTCAAGTATAATCACAAAATCAAGCACACAAACCCATCACGCGGGCAATGCTTCTAAATAAGCTTTGGGTGCGTAGAAACGAACCGTGTCGTTGCTTGGTTTTTGGGTTCGAATTCGATAGCGCTTCTGCTTGGATTGGGGTTGCCACCAGCGCACGTTAGCACCGGGGACGGGCAGCTTTTTTGGGGTTTAGTTTTGCGGGAAAACTGCACAAATTATAAAAGAAAGATTTGGTTGCCGGGAACATTGCTTTGACTGCAAGCGGGAGAGAGAGGGTATAATGGTAATTATGCGAAGGTGGTTTGGTTAAATCATGATCGGACGGTTGAAAAGATGTGAGATAATGTAACTGGTGAGAAGAATAAATGCGCCATGGCAAATGTGGGGACCCATGTATTGGATCACAGATTTTGGATGGGAAAAATTTGGGGCAGTTCATACCAAAAAGAGAAGAAAATTGATGACGGTTTGTCACGTGACTCAAGACCGATTGCATGTGACTGTTTATCATCATAAAGGCTAAGATAATACAAGAAAAGAAAATATCGTAAACGATATAGAGAAAGGTTTCCAGACGCTCCTTTACTTTTTTTTTCTTTATACATATCTATTTATATATGTCATTGCGCGGAAGTTGGCATTCAGTAATAAGAAAGGGATCTTAAGTTCAGGGATCCGGACCATTACAATTTGATCTAACGGCTACAAATAAGGATTACTTTAAAAGTTATAATAATTTTAGCTATTTAATTAAATTTCAATGACCCAGATTCCTGGAATTGGTGAATTAGGAGGAAGAGATTCGGAGGAGATCCCTTTCCTCAGTATTACGCTGAAGTAATATTGGGACGGGGCATCTCTCTCCCTTTTTTTTGGGAGGGGGGAAAATGATTTTTACTTATAAGGGAGATGTTTTAATGTGATATTTCGTCTCGAAATTTTATTATTTTGAATTTTGAGGTGTATTTGAGTTTTATTTATTTATTTACTTTTGGAAAAACAATTAAGGGGCATTTTGGTTATTTTAAATTTTACTTTGGTATTTGGACGTGTTTTTATAGATGGATAAATCTTGGTCCCACGAGCCTGTGGGTGACGCCTAATTCTGACTTAGAATGAAGAAAATAGAGCATTTTAAGTTGAAAGGCATTTGAAAGCAAGAGCTTCGAGATTAGAAACCAACACATTCATGGTTGAAATCGAAAATTAAGAAATAGAAACAAATGAGGGCTTTTGGACCTTTGGTGTTCGTTTAAGATTTGTGTTGGTCCTGTCCAATTCGGATCTTGATAGAGAGATGATAGGAGGGTTGCTAAGAGTCGAGAGCTAAGATGCGAATTGTAACAATTTTGTTCCTTGTAACAAAAATTAAAATAAAAAGACATGTGGACCCGTAAGAAACTGTCGATTTGAAATAGACTGGGTTAGGTCTGGTTCTATTTCTAATATAACAAGATTGGCCCACTCCACACCGTTTGCATTTACATTTATTTCTAGAAATAATGTTACACTAAGGTTCTCAT